TTCCGAAAAGTCGATAATCTACTTTCGAAAAGTAGAAAATCTATCTACTTTTGGGAGAAATGATAACCAACTTTCGGAAAGTAGATATTTCCCATTTTTTGATGATAAGTTTCGTTTTTCTATGATAATCTTCGCAAAATTAGGTAATATTTCCCCAAATTCAGAAAATCTGCTTCCCCGAAAAGTCGATAATCTACTTTCCCGAAAAGTGAAAATCTATCTACTTTCGGAAAGTAAATAACCAACTTTCGGAAAGTAGATATTTCCCATTTTTATATGATACAAATTTCCGTTTTCTATGATAATCTACTTCGCGTAATTATTTCCAAAATTAATCTCCCCGAAAGTCGATAATCTCTTTCCGAATGAAAATCTACTTTTCGGGAAGTGATAATACTTTCGGAAAGAGATTTTCCCAGTTTTATGATTACATTTTTTTATGATAATCTGCGCAAAATTAGGTAATATTTTCCCCAGAATTCGAAAATCTACTTCCCGAAAAGTCGATAATCTACTTTCGAAAATGAAAATCTATCTACTTTTCGGGAAAGTAGACTCTTAACTTTCGGAAAGTGAATATTTCCCGTTTTATGATACAATTTCCGTTTTTCCTGTGATAATCTACTTGCAGAGTGGGTAATATTTCCCCAAAATTCGAAAATCTACTTCCGAAAGTCGATAATCTACTTTCGAAAAGTAGAAATATACTTTTGGGGATAATATTTCGGTAGATATTTCCCGATATGATACAAATTTCGTTTTCTGTGATAATCTGCTTCGCAAAATTGGGTAATATTTCATTCAATCTTTCGAGTCGATCACTTTCGTGAAATCTATCTACTTTTCGGGAAAGTAGATAACCAACTTTCCCGGAAAGTAGATATTTCCCATTTTTATGAAACAAATTTCCCGTTTTCTATGATTATCTACTTCGCAAAATTAGGTAATATTTCCCCCAAAATTCGAAAATCTACTTCCCCGAAAAGTCGATAATCTACTTTCCCAAAAAGTAGAAAATCTATCTACTTTTCGGGAAAGTAGATAACCAACTTTCCCGGAAAGTAGATATTTCCCATTTTTATGATACAAATTTCCCGTTTTCTATGATAATCTACTTCGCAAAATTAGGTAATATTTCCCCCAAAATTCGAAAATCTACTTCCCCGAAAAGTCGATAATCTACTTTCCCGAGAAGTAGAAAATCTATCTACTTTTCGGGAAAGTAGATAACCAACTTTCCCGGGAAGTAGATATTTCCCATTTTTTATGATACAAATTTCCCGTTTTCTATGATAATCTACTTCACAAAATTAGGTAATATTTCCCCCAAAATTCGAAAATCTACTTCCCCGAAAAGTCGATAATCTACTTTCCCAAAAAGTAGAAAATCTATCTACTTTTCGGGAAAGTAGATAACCAACTTTCCCGGAAACTAGATATTTCCCATTTTTTATGATACAAATTTCCCGTTTTCTATGATTATCTACTTCGCAAAATTAGGTAATATTTCCCCCAAAATTCGAAAATCTACTTCCCCGAAAAGTCGATAATCTACTTTCCCAAAAAGTAGAAAATCTATCTACTTTTCGGGAAAGTAGATAACCAACTTTCCCGGAAACTAGATATTTCCCATTTTTTATGATACAAATTTCCCGTTTTCTATGATTATCTACTTCGCAAAATTAGGTAATATTTCCCCCAAAATTCGAAAATCTACTTCCCCGAAAAGTCGATAATCTACTTTCCGAAAAAGTAGAAAATCTGTCTACTTTTCGGGAAAGTAGATAACCAACTTTCCCGGAAAGTAGATATTTCCCATTTTTTATGATACAAATTTCCCGTTTTCTATGATAATCTACTTCGCAAAATTAGGTAATATTTCCCCGAAAATTCGAAAATCTACTTCCACGAAAAGTCGATAATCTATTTTCCCGAAAAGTAGAAAATCTATCTACTTTTCGGGAACGTAGATAACCAACTTTCCCGGAAAGTAGATATTTCCCATTTTTATGATACAAATTTCCCGTTTTCTATGATTATCTACTTCGCAAAATTAGGTAATATTTCCCCCAAAATTCGAAAATCTACTTCCCCGAAAAGTCGATAATCTACTTTCCCGATAAGTAGAAAATCTATCTACTTTTCGGGAAAGTAGATAACCAACTTTCCCGGAAAGTAGATATTTCCCATTTTTTATGATACAAATTTCCCGTTTTCTATGATTATCTACTTCGCAAAATTAGGTAATATTTCCCCAAAAATTCGAAAATCTACTTCCCCGAAAAGTCGATAATCTACTTTCCCGAAAAGTAGAAAATCTATCTACTTTTCGGGAAAGTAGATAACCAACTTTTCCGGAAAGTAGATATTTCCCATTTTTTATGATACAAATTTCCCGTTTTCTATGATTATCTACTTCGCAAAATTAGGTAATATTTCCAAATTCGCCAGAAAATCTACTCAAAAAGTCCATAATCTACCGGTGCAGAAAATTATCTACTTTTTTCGGGAAAGTAGATAACCAACTTTCCAGAAAGTAGATATTTCCATTTTTATGATACAAATTTCCCGTTTTCTATGATTATCTACTTCGCAAAATTAGGTAATATTTCCCCCAAAAGTCGAAAATCGACTTCCCCAAAAAGTCGATAATCTACTTTCCCGAAAAGTAGAAAATCTATCTACTTTTCGGGAAAGTAGATAACCAACTTTCCCGGAAAGTAGATATTTCCCATTTGTTATGATACAAATTTCCCGTTTTCTATGAATGCCTACAGCTGGGCTCTAGCCGCAAGACTCCGGCTAGTCTAGCGCCTCGGTGTACGTTATAAGCCGCTTGGACTGGGCGGCTGCTCTCACGTCCACAAGAAAAATTATACCGTACAGCCTATCATCTTTTTGTAGTTCTTAAATATCGTCCAGATCATTAATAAAGCTGTAGCAGTATAGCCACGGTGTTTTACTTTTTACCTATGCAGGTTACAACATACAAATTACAATTAGGATGGTAGAAATAGTTGTTACAAATAGGCCAAGGAGTCGGAGTCGGAGTCGGAGTCGGAAGCATAAAAATTTGAGGAGTCGGAGTCGGAGTCGAAGGTTTTGTCTTCGACTCCACAGCCCTGGTTAACACCATAGATACAGTAACTTATATATTACTACAAGGGGTTACAGTGTTCAATAGTGATCTATGGTGTACCTTACATAACCGTTTGAACGTTATGTACTGTATCACTGTAGTTATGTGAAGAATAAAGGAAAACCCCCTTTGCTGTAACCTTCTCTGTGTAACGATTATGTAACTTTGGATCAAGTAACTGTATATTCATGTAACACGTCTATACATCTCATTACATGTTAACATACATACCTGTACATATACAAAGGAAGAGAGAGAGAGAGCGAGAGAGAAATTAACCAGAAAACCTAAAAAAGAAAAAAACTACTTGTGGATGCCGTTTGAACATTGTCGTTGATGTGTTATTGATGTTGTTGTTGTTGTCAAATAATCCTCCCCCACCACACGTCCTCCTCATCACCATGGCAACCAGAAGACAGCAACACACCTGCAGACAAAACACGACCAAGTCAGAGGGAGAAAAGAGGGAGGGTGATGGTGAGAGTGGATAGTGGACAGACACAGAGGGAGATGGTGGTGTGTGGAGGAGATGATGGTGTGTCCTCTAACACACCACACACTCCTCTAACACACCACACACTCCTCTAACACACCACACACTCCTCTAACACACCACACACCCCTCTAACACTCCACACATTCCTCTAACACACCACACACCCCTCTAACACACCACACACCCCTCTAACACACCACACTCCTCTAACACACCACACACCCCTCTAACACACCACACACCCTCTAACACACCACACACCCCTCTAACACTCCACACACCCTCTAACACACCACACACCCCTCTAACACACACACACCACCTCCTCTAACCACCACACCCCCCCACACACCACACACACCCCCACACCACACACCCCCTAACACTCCACACACCCCTCTAACACACCACACACCCCCCAACACCCACACCCTCTAACACACCACACCCCTCTAACACAACACACCACACACACCTCTAACACACCACACACCCTAACACACCACACACCCCTCTAACACCCACACACCCCCAACACACACACACACACACCCCCTCTAACACACCACACACTCCTCTAACACACCACACACCCCTCTAACACTCCACACACCTCTCTAACACACCACACACCCCTCTAACACACCACACACCTCTCTAACACACCACACACCCCTCTAACACACCACACACCCCTCTAACACACCACAGACCCCTCTATCACACCACACACCCCTCTAACTAGATGATTTTCTTGAACTTTAATCTGTTATCTTCAAAGGAAAGGAAGCACAAAATGTATCTTTAAATACTTTATTATACAAAAGCACAGATAAATATACAGACATGATCATTTCAACAGCGTATTCGGTATTTACAACTGTCTGCCTCATGCACATAACTGGCTTAAAAATACAATTATGAATAATACTCATTGACTTATTCCCATTCATATAAAACAAAAAAGTATCCACACATGAGTGGTTGTGGGTGCAAACATATATAATACTTTCATATAGAAACATTTTCGAAAGCTATTTTTAATATCTAGTAAATTTTAAAGATTCCAGCCTTTTGCTTCATTTATCCGATTGATTGGTATTCACGCTGAAATTCTAAATTAACTTTTTTTTTCCAAATAAATATTACAAAGAATCTCAAAACCCAAGTATTCTTCAAGCATGTATGGAAAGTAGACCACTAGCTGCCAGTTTCCAAATGCTAATAAATGTAGCGGTATATTACTACAGCAAAATGCGTAATCCCCACCACTCTTCCAATTTGGTTTCTTACTGTTGTAGTTAACAATCATCCTTGACAGTTTTTGGTTTTTTGTCTATTAAAGCATTTTATACTGCACTGTTGTTTCACTAATTCAGACATATTATCCAGGTCCACCACAAGTATGTCATGATGTGTTAAGAACTCTGTCACTTATATACTGGGTCCCAGACTAGCCGACACTGCCCTGGCCAAGAGGTTACAACCCAGATTTGTAAGATACCGAACGCAGGACACGGATACGAGCTTGGCTCAGGCAGCAGTGCGAGTGCCGCAGTCACGGTGTAACACATAATCGGCGATGCTACACAATAATGAAAAAAGTTAACCAGACTCCGGCCGGCAATGAGAATGTATAAGAAGACATTTGGCAACGTGTACATTCACCAGGGCTTGGAAGACCCTCTCCTACCCAGAATGCCATCACAATATGAAAAAAATATATATATAAAAAATAAAATAAAAAATAATTATTGAAATACTTGTACATTGGACACACACTAAGGTAAATTTCATAAAATGTTATGGGATTTAGTCTACTAGGAAAGATTTTGGTTCCTTGGGAGGGAAATACATACAAGACAAAGGAAATAAGCTAAAAGACGTAACATATTAGATGACTTCATGGGTCACTCTATCACACTAGTACAAGATGGAAGTATCAAAGGATATGCAATAAGTAGGCATCACTGAACCAGAGAAAGTAAAGGATGAACTATTACACAAAACATGTCACTTTCCTTGTATGCTCATAACAACAAATAGACCAGTCTTTAAAATAGACTCACACAGGTCACTGCAAAATAACATACTGTACACACCCAAAATTTTCAGGAAAACACAAATCACATATATATTGTAAGTACAGAAGCCGAGGTCACCATGTCCTTCTCACATGTTCACTGGACCTATGTGCTCTGTTTTAACCATTTAACAACCAAAGTGTTTTGTTTTCTATAACAAAATTAAAAATATGAGAACAAATAGAAATAACAGTATAAAAAAAATTCAACTAAACTGATTATAAATGTTGTTAAGAAACTTTTAAATGGAATTAAAAACTCTCATAAACATTATGAGCTAGATAAAACCATAGACAATAACGACAGTCACAATAGAATAGTCAGTCTGCATGTCTAACATAGGAAGATAGACAACAGATGACTTGGACAGCACAAGTTGACAGTCAAAACATAATAGAATAAAAAAAGTTTATAAAAGTCATGAAAAACAAATGCCACTGAAAATGGCTCCTTTCAAGCATTCCTCTGAAAGTGATTACCCTAAGTAAGGCATCATTTGTTCCTCTCCCCTCAAGCTCCTACAGGGTACACACAGTTAACCCTCATCAAGGAGAAATTCTCCTCCAGGTTATGTAAATTTCTACCACAAAAATAAGCTAATCTTTTATCAATTTTAACACTGACTTGTAGCTACATTGCCAATCCACTTCACATCAAGAAGGAAAAAAATTATATAACAGTAATCTCAGTGGTAATCATCTGTAGTACAGCAATTAACTCAACTTATCTAAGCACGGAGACGAAATCCTTCATCCCGGTCTTAAATAAAATGTTATTGCACTTAAATTTGGAAGAGTTAAATGCACCACTAGATCATACACATAAACATAAAGTCATGGTCTTGTGAAACGGAAGACTAAAAATCTATGGTTCCCAAAATAAAAAAGGGTCTATACAGTTTAGTTGATAGGATATGCAAACAGAAGCTTTATCTGCATTGTACTTTGAAGAAACTTTCATCAGGTAATATATTCATGGTATGTGTGGAAGGAAATTACAAACTGCATCAAGCAGCACTAATGATATTCCCTCTGAGATAATGTATTGACTTAATTAGTTTAATGATACAAAACTACTTTTTCTTTTTTTCTGCTTTCTCTGCTAGTTTTTCGGCTTTCTTCTGTAGCTTTTCTCTCTCCTTTTTCTCTTTCTCTGCTTGTTTACGTTCTTTTTCTACCGCTATTCTTAGTTCTTTAACCTGTAAGAGACAAAGACACATTATGTTATAGTTCTATGGAAACAGTACATATGAATAACACTTCTTCCTTTTTTTCAGGCTACAAGAGGACACTGTGGCTGGCACTTCACTTCCAACTGCCAATGTTAGGTTCCTGTTGACAAGTTGGTGGACTAGGAGCACCCTAGACACAAACCAGGGACCCTCAAGACAGGAGATGTATCGTATTTGTTCAGCTGCTGCTCCCCTCCCCCTACGCTATCATCATAAGGTAAGGACAACTATAATATTCATATAATGCCAAAGGTTATTACATACTACTTGTCTGTTTCAGTGTGTCAGTGATGGAATGGACATCCTCAACTAAGCGCAACAAAATTTGTCAATCAACAGTAAGAAGAAATTTCTCCTAATCTAATCAGTCAATCATAATAATTGGCATGTCTCCTCACAAAAGAGACTAACAACTTGAGGAAATAACCTAATTCCTTCCCAGAACTGTTAAAGGTCTTGTCACATTAGTACTGTATATATACCTCTTCAACTTTTAAACATAACATGAAACAAACCTAAATCAGCAAAAAGCACATCAGTCAAACATATAACAAATGACGTCTACACTTTACCTTTCTCTTCAGTTTGCTCTTCTCGTCGGCTGGCAGCCCTAATGACTTGAGATCTCGTATATCTAAATTAAGTAGTCTAGGGCCGGTCATGCCAATATCTTGGAAACGTCCGACGCAGCTCTCTAGCCCTTGGACCACCAGCCACTGACTGACCTGTAAACAGTCACAAGAATGAGCCAACATCCCATTACCTCGACATTATCTTTCAGTGAATCCGAGAACACAGAACCAACTCATCAAATAAATGCAAACCAATTCAAACTTAAAAACCTATAAGGAATAAAAACGAGCTTGGGAAAATAACACTAATAAAAAAAATAAATAAATAAACAAATAAATAAATAACATATAAAACAATGAGTGCATATTTTGGTTCCATAAATGCTCTTGCAGTCCAACACTCAACACTAATGTTATTGCAAGGAGTCGTAAATGTGCCAACACACACACACACACTAGATCATTTTTATCGAGTCATTTCTTTTCCCGTTAAGAATGCACAATTTCTATGTCTTCGTGCTGTATTCTATAAGTATGTCATAAAAATATATACAGTATACTGTACAACCTGAGCAACAATACAGTCCATTTAAATCCACAGTTCTCCAAAAGTCTCCAGATGTGTAAAATCCTGGTCAATATTATACACAATTATCACAACAAATAGTCACGATTCACACTTGCCACTTCATGTAGCTAATAGAGAGATATTAGCGAGAATAATGATAAGAGCACAGTTTAAGAATATGTATACTGTACTGTTGCTCAAGCTGGAAAAATAAGTACAGCTCCTCCCCGACGGGGTTAGGGACCCAAATCCAGGTCGTAAGTCTTAAATACATACAAAATCTTAAATGGATGTCTCTTTTTCTTCTCAGCACCACAAAACTCTCACTTTTAAGCTTGCCAGCCATTTTAAAGTGAATTACAAACGAAAATTCTTTCTGTGTACTGACGTTGGGACTCGAAAATACGTAATTTGACAAAACTTTGGTACGACTGAGGCAGGTCGTAAGTGCGGGTGGTCGTAAGTCGGGTAGGAGCTGTACAGTGTATTGTAATAAAATAAACTATACTGTACATTCTCTTGACAGTAAATCAATCAGATACATTAAGCATGCAGTGAATGTGAGGGGTTGCTTAAACTGTTAACACTCACCACATCTATGGAGATAAATTAACAATACCAATGTACTTAAAAAATAAAATAAATACAACTGAAGAGATTACAGTACTATACCAAGTTGGGTGAACTTATTTGTATGTCAGTACAGTATTATACAGGTATCCCTCGCTATACAAATGGGTTACGTTCCTGAAAATTCATTTGCCAAGTGAATTTTCATCAAGCAAATAAAATGACCTATGGGAAAAATAGGGTTCGGTTCCCCAATGAAATGAAAACCCCCAATATCACACCCAAAAACATGAAATTGATTCACAAACAACATAAAACCTACTTAATTAATGATAAATAGTACACAATTACTGTAAATTACTTTCTAACATATTAAAAACATTAATAAAATATAATCTAGATGAAAAAATGCAGCTAAAACCATTAGTAAAAACTAAATCAAAGTTTAACACAAACGTCATTTGCATCGACAGTGGCTGCATTAAAAGTGGTCGCCCTAAAGCCTAGCCATGGCAACCTAGCCTGGCTGGGGATGCTCCCCCTCTTACTCTCTCACTCACAAAGGAATGTTCATTCCTTTTCTCATTTTGGCCTTAGATAGTTATTTCTTTTTAATTTTTTTTAAACATCAGTGTGTAGGATTGTATGTGCATGTAACAGTGGAAAAAAAAAGTGAAGAAAGTTCATTTTATCTACCCAAAATTAATTGTTGAAAAAATAACCATATCATAACTCCTACCTCAGCCTGGTAGGGAGAGTGCTAGGGGGATGTGGCCGCCCCAGCTGACTCCCGGGGGAGTGTGATTTTAATTTTTGCCGGGACCCAAATTTGTCTATGAGGAGGAAGCTATCGTAAGATAAATGTTTGAATAATGAGGGATACCTGTAGTGTGTTCAACCCTTCAATTCAGTCAACATCCATCATCACCTCTGCATCACGGGGCATTATAAAAACAATATATTTAAGGGTAAGCTACAATAACCTTACCTCTTCTAAATAAGCAACAGTACCATAAAAGAATGAATTCAAACATGGTTCCTCTAATAGCAATAAAAATGTCACTACTATGATGCCAATAACCGAAGAGATATATTCCTGACTCTCCATCAGTCCACCATATTCAGAAATATTTTAGGTAATAATCTACTGCAACACCTGAAAATATTATACAGTAAAACACAATGATTAAATTTAGCTCCAGACTTTTACCAAATAGCAAGAGGTTTCAGGGGAATTTTTTTTTTAATATTATTTGTTGTTTTATTGTATGTCGGCTCAACTACCAAAACAGTAGGTAAAGACTGTAATGGAAGGGCTGGTTGTGTGTCACTGTTATTAAGTTTACCATTACTTTAGAGTACCATCAACAGTGCACATGTCTAATACTGATTTCTATTTCGTTAGACTTCATTTAACAAGATATACATATAGACAGCCAGCAATACCATTATTATTAATAATCTTGGCAGTTATGTTGTGACAGATTCAGCCCGACACGGTTACACGTGAAGCTCAGAGTGTCAGGAATACTCCCCACGGCTACACTACCTGCTCCTTGGTCCAGTCGACCACGGGTGCGGTCTGCCACATGTGCGACCGTTTGGTCCTCTCAGTAGGAGGTTGGGTAAGGGAGAGGGAACTCTGGGACCCTAAAGATGCGCCTGAGCCCTCATCCCCTGACCCTAAGGATGCAGGACCGCTGCTTAAGTCCCCACTGCTGCCATCTACACCTGGCATATTGAGCTGGGTCACTACTGGTTACATGGTACACAAGTGCTGAGGCTGTTTACCAGCGCCACCATCTTTAAGGTCAAGCTTGTAAGAATTAAAACAAATAGGCAAGAGGCTTTTGGGTCTCACAGGACAACAGATGGAAGTGAAAACAAAAGAAATAGCAAAATAATTCTATAAACAACACAATCATAATTATAATCAAAGGTAATCATATCTATAATCAAAGATAATATTAGCATTGTCAAGCATGGCACTAAAACTGATCATTACTAGTCTACAAATTTATACCTACAACTGACTTAATCAACTGTTTCATATTTCAACATTATATTATACTAAAGAACAAATAATTACCTTCATAAACTCTATTTAACTCTAATGTCTCTGATATACTGACAATTACTCCAATTTAATATACATTTTACATTATAAACAAGAGTTGAATATCACCTAAAACTAATAACACAGCATTTAAGTTAAGTGAGATGAAGCAACTAAGAAAAATATCAACCTAACTAGCAACTGTAACTTCTATTTAACTAGTGACTGTAACTTATACCTAACTAGTGACTGTAACTCATACCTAACTAGTGATTGTAACTCATACATAACTAGTGATTGTAACTCATACCTAACTAGTGATTGTAACTTTAACACTACATAACGCTGAAATCCTCATAACAACAAGGGGGTCGTAAGCTCTCTGTTCACCTACAATAATCCTACCTACAATTACTATGTCTGATTGTAAGAAATACTTAATGGTTCCTTATGTTGGCTGCAGGACAAATAAAAGTGTTCAAAGTTTTAAGTGTATATAAATTATTCTACACAGTAATTTGTGTTTAAGGATTGTGGGAAAACAAAGAGTTGTATTGTGTTGACTTTGTGAAATAAGATCATGGGGAAACTGGTTATGGGAGGAGGAAGGAGAGAGAAAGAGAGAGCTAGAGTTTTATTTAAAGAAGATTCCTACATCAAAATGACCTATAAAGTTTAATTTGTTGTTTGTACGATTTTTTTTGTTAGTGATGTGTTCAAATAAAAATCACGAAGGGAGTTGTGATTTTGTTATACTGTATATGAAACCAAGCTTGGAATTTCTTATTGGCTGTCAACTATGGGAATTACTGCCATCTGATTGGCCGAGTTGTCCCTTTAGGAAAAAATTTAAAATCTCTTCCTGGCAAATGTACTTTTTTTGCACCTCATTTATTTTGGCTATTACATCCATTTCATGAAATTCCAGGCCTGTTAAACTCACATTATATAAACCCTATGCTATAATTTGTGAATGACTGGAGAGAGACTTGATCAATACAGTACTAAACTGGCTAAGCTAACTAGAGGTCTTGCTTTACCTTCTAGAAACACTGTGTTACCTGGTCCTAGTTTGTGTGTTGGTATAGAAGAATCAAGCGGTCTCTGGCTCAGCAGCACCACGCCTGAAGGGTTGGCACTGACGCCGCTCACCGGACTGGCGTGTATGCTGCTGCGGCCTAATCTCGGAGACTGAGATCCAGCGTTGCTGTCGCGCATTGATTCCCGGCCACCCTGTCATAAAACACGTAGACAAATTAAGAGAGAAAATAATGCTGTCAAAAAGGAAAAATACTAAAACAAGTAAAAACTTATAAAAAACAAAGAAATTGACATACAAAACTATCTATAAAATTTTCTACCTTTAAAAGAGTAGCATAAATGCAGGGCCGGCCCCAGCTACAGTATGTGGGGCTGCACAGGGCCCCCATCACTTAGGGGGCCCCCTCTTGGATACACTATAAGCTAGAGCCAGTCCTGCATAAATGTTTAGCAAAAGATCCATCAACATTATATAAAACATTTGTCTGTCATCATTCTTGAACACTGTCTTAGTTCTCACAGAAGGCAAGTAAGTGTCTTCAGTAGCTTGACGTATAAATAAATAAATATTAATGAGAAAATAAAGGCTACTGGTGAAGGTGAGAGAAACACCAGAAATAATTCAAGCTGGTGTCATACAGTACAGTACCCTCAGGTGGATAATGTACAATGACTGTACCTTATCTGGCAGTGCAAATTATTTACATGATAATGATAGCACAATGAGGAACATATTACCATTGTACATGAGTAAACTGTACAGCATAAGACTAATCTGTGAAATGTAAGCCCACATAGTCTGGCATAAACCTGACATAATATACATTTTATCAAGTGTAAAATACTGTAAGATGATTTCACATCACCCGGGATCTCTAAGTTCACTCAACTTACACACCAGACCTAATGCATCTACTGATACTTTCACAAAACAACAAATGAATCTGATGTTGTCTGCTATAAGGTTGAATACCACACTTGTCTATTTTTATAACAAATATCAAAACCCATAAATTTGGTTTAAAATAGGTGAGTGAAGTTAGGACATCAAGGTGAAACATTTACACTGTCAATAACTCTCATGTGAAGCCCTACAGATAAGACTGATATACAGTACTGCATACATCCACCAGCCTACAGAACAGTTGACAAGGGGGTGTAGGATCAGGGGGTGGTGGGAGGAATGGGGGTGGGATCAGGGGTGGTAGGAGGAATGGGGGGTGGGAACGGGGGTGGGGAGGATCAGGGGGATGAACAGGGGTGGTGAGGGGTGGGAACAGGGGTGGTAGGATCAGGGGTGGGGAGGAATGGGGGTGGATCAGGGGGTGATGGGAACAGGGGGTGGTAGGATCAGGGGGTGGTGGGAACAAGAACACCTCGGACACTAAAAATTTTGAAAACCACACATATTAATGGTAGTCTTAAGTTTGGTTCGTGTAAATATATTAAAATTCTAACACATTGGGGTGATGTTATAGCACGGCTTGATACTGTATGGTTGTTCTCAGTCCCTATGCCATACTACAGGGCCATTTATCATATTTTATTCAAGAAACCAAAATGATTATATGCAACAAAGTCTAATGATTGCAGAGAAGATTTATGTTCTTTTCAATAATAATCAGAATTTATTCCTATTGATTTTTCAAGTCTTGTTTACCGAACGTCGTAAAGCATAGTAATCATTTAGGGTTCTCAAATAAAAGAATTACTTTGTATAAGGTGACCCGACTGTATGGCAATTCTTAAGATGTGTTAAGTAACAATTTTTAGGGAGAGTAGACAGGTCAGTTTGTATTTCTCCGTGTTTACAATTAAATATTCTAATATGTATTAATTTAGTTGATAATTATACTTCTCAAAACCATATCAAGAGAGGAAAAAAAAAGTTGGTTTGAAACAGTACCTGGCAGATTCTTTTTTCTTATGAATTTAAATTTTTATTCAATCCTCAACTCACACACTGGAGGTACTGTATTATTCATTCTAATTAAGAGGGAGTTCTGTCATGATCACTTTACTTATAAGAGAGTAAAGTCAAGACCACATTACATACAAGTGAAGAGTGTAGGAGTTTCTATGGTGTATTTACAGTACAAAATACAGGTTACCGTGGCCTTATTTACAACACGGAGAGTAGCTGTAACGACTCTACTTACAGTAACATTGTGACCACTGTACTCCCTGGAGATTAACTTCACGATGCCCCTACTTACAGGAGAGTAAAATGCAGATTGTGAGCGCTGAGGGGAGCTGACGGGGTGCACCGCCTGACCCTGAGCGACCACGTGTGCTGTTGACGACAAAGGAACAGGAGCACTGATTACTGGCTTCTTGCCCACTGGAAGAGAAAACCCTTGATTGACGCTTGTTCGTGTGCACCTCGACTACTACGCGTGTCTGTTCGAAATTTTGATATGCAGATTGACTGTATTTTACCGAGCATCAATTTGACAACTGTTGTATCGCTACAATGATGCCGATATTGCATGAGGTATATTTCATTCTACACTACTGTACTCTACAAGTAACAACGAGATCAATTACTACTTTAGGCAAAATATAAGTGCAAAAACTTCATGCAGACTAAACAATAAAAATCTTTTTAATTTAAACCAACTGCTTTCAGAAAAACAATCTCTCAAAGCAGTTGTTAAAGCAGTCCACGGTGCACCGTCACAAAATCAAGAGCTTTTCACTACAAAAACAAAAAAAGTCTAAAATACAAAGTAAGAAGCACAGTATCAAAACTATGACCTGAGCAAGAAAATAAAAGGGAACTCAACAAGAGGCCGAGACAAGACATGCATCAAGCAGAACATACGGTGTTGCCAGTGTTGCTGTGTGGGAACTGAGGCTAAAAAAGAACAAGAGTAACACCGTTTAGTAAAATACACCAGTAATGTTCTCAGTCAATATAAAACTATGCAGAGGAAATCCTATCAATATCAGCTTACTGTCAAAAAAGTCTTGAGATGTACTTTAGGCATCGTGGCGATTGCACGTTGCATAATGATCTTCAAACTATGGGAGAGCAAGACCAATTAATGAATACTCTACATAAAATAATACAGATAATCTTTCTAGGCCATTGGAAAGTAAAATACAAAATAAACTTATGATCATCCTACAGCATGATACCTTAACTTGTGTATGATGAGTTATGAATTATTTGGCTCCTCTGAATTTACAACACTGAATACTATACCACATGTGCACTTGGAGGCTATCACCAGCTGTCTTTACTTGTCACTTTTTACATTTCTCTCATATCAGTTGTCCTCATCATTCCTCCTCCAAATTTCTTTGAGGTTGTTATGCAGTGAGAGAATGAAGTATCTTCCCGGCTTTGGTCGAAGTATAATGAAACCTAACTACCCAACACAGTGGCGACCTCTTCCCTTGGTCCACATGGCTGCCGTCAAACCCCTCCGAGAAGCTATTTCATTCTCTCGCTGTGCCTTTTAATCCACCCCACACATGTTTGGGTGTGTAGAAAAGATAATAAATAAACATACTGATACTGGAGGGATTCATCCATTTGTGTTTCTTTTTGTAAGTGTAGATTGCTTGTGTTGACTCCATTAACATTATACATCCCAGAGATGACAACACAACACAACACAGCCAAGAAGAAACACTGAACTCTGATGCTAGTTTCTCTGCTCCACTACACATCACTTGGCAGAAGCATTGTATCACTCACAACACAAACATTTCATTGTGAATTAGTTGACCAAGGACGTTAATTTCTAGTATTTCTTTTTTTTATAGTTTTCACCAGTCGTTAGCTTACCAGCCATTAGGGCGGTCGTTCTGTTCTATGTTATCACCTCTATTGAACAGCGTCAGTACAAGAGGAAGCCACAGTACCCGGAGAAAACCTACAATGTTTAAGGTCGCACTTTATGACAGCTTGTGTCTTAAGTAAATTAACCTAAAGACAAGTACCAACCTTAAGACACTAACCATACTATAAAAGACAAGCTTGTACAGAGAATCTTTGTTATTTGTCAGGTATAAACAGTTTTATAGTCAGGATATACTAAGTGAGACAGTTTACCAGTATCTTCTCTCATCTGTGCAACTTTTTTTTTTTACAGGATAAAATAAATTATCCAGTTTATCCTCTCACCGTAACAGTCACGTAGGATGATCATAGTTTGACAATGGTGACTGCAAAACAAATACAAATGCAAGCGTTCTTCCTGTGAACTTACACGTGACATCTGCTTGTAAAACAGCTTGTCTGACGTCTTCCATGAGGCTTGTTGGTGATCTTTTGCTAGGGCTCGGCTCTCTGTGTTGTGTTCCGTCGCTGTCTAACTCTCTGCAACGATGAGGAAGTTTAAACACATAAAACATAAACATTGTAAAATAACTCCTGACTATCATAAACATTTAAAATAACTGAAAACTGTCATAAACATTTAAAATAACTTGAAACTTTGTCATAAATATTTAAATTTAACTCAAAACTTTGTCTTAAATATTTAAAATAACTCAAAACCTTGTCTTACACATTTAAAAAGAAATCCAATCAACACAACAAAGAATAGATAAAAAAATAACTTTCAAAATACTGTAAACCAAATGAGACTTAAGTAATTATTACATGAATTATCATTAAAAAAGTGAAATGACATCAAACATGAATCTTCTTCAAAAAAAAAAATCTTAATTTCAATTTTAACTCAAGAGATCATCACCAATTGCATCTGTGCATCTAGAGTATCTGCCTCTATGTTCAAACTAGGGAGGTACAAGCATATTATCTCCCAAACACATGGGCAACTAGTCATCTGAACTGTACACCTATATGCGTCAAGCACCCGGGTAGCATTGTGTGGATTGCTTGACGAGAGGGGAGTCTATGTGCTGGTGTGGTTCTTCGGTATGTGGAGGAGGTGAGGTGGTGCTTGCATGAGGAAGGAGACTGAAAGAAAGAGAGACAGACAGAAGAATGAGGAAAAAGAAGATAGAGAGGAAGAGAGAAGAATGAGGGCTTTGGATAATGGAAGGTTAACCGAGATGGGGGATACAGATGTGGATATGGATGGTACAAAGCCAGTGGATGGATGGTACAAAGCCAGTGTACAGTTATCAGAGGGAAGGGAGGAAAATGTAAGGAAAGTAAACTAAAAGAGGAAAAAAAAAAAGCATGAAAATGGAGAATTAGAGAGAATACAATACAAGCATAGTCCAAAGGGGAAGAGGGGAAACAGAAGTAAAGAGAAGTAGATAATTAGAAAAAGACAAGAAAGAGGGAGGGAGCGAGGGAGGAAGGAAGGTGGGTGCAAGAGCGAAGAGCCACCAGATAAATGCAAATACCAAGACTGTCTCTCTTTCTCTCTCTGACTGATGCATCATTAGAGCCAGAGAAAACAATTACCAAAAGTATAATCACCAGTTACACTATATTATGCTGTATACGTGATGCAGGCCAACACTCATATATACAGGGCATACGCTATACGCTCCAGTCTCCTACGTTCAATATACTTGGTACCGTACATGCAGCAGTATGTGACCGTGAACCATTTTATATTGGTGAACAGTTCCACACACACATTCTATTGTCGAGTCATAAATACAAGGGCTTTTCTTGCATCAAAACAAAATAAAAACATGTTTGAGAGACTGTGGGACATAAAAGAAGTTAAAATAATGGACAAAGATTCTATAACACTATGATAAATGGGAAACGTCAAGGTAGAGGTTAACTTTTAAATTAATGTGTAAGAAAATGCAACCAAGATGTAAAGGCAAAAGAACCTAGACAATATAACACAAGGATAACATTAAAACTTGATAGCTTGTGTGTGTTTCTATTAAGCAGGACACTAGGGTATGAGATGGGGACTGGTAACTACAATGTTCTTTCCCTCTAACTATCGTCAGCTACTGCACAGGTGAGATGCCAAGACGCGCATCAATAAATAGTTCCTTGGTGCTATGACAACAAGGCATAATTAAAAGTACTAAATTATATTTTTTAAAGTAAAGTTCTTATATCTCTTTAAGTGTCCTTTATAGACAATACTATTACATAAAGATATATCTGATGAAGAGAACTGTACTGTACATAAGAGATGGAAACTACAGATGTCTTCCTTGCTCGTACTAAGAGATATATGTTTATTTACAGCCAAGATAGAATACCGAGTCTCAAACTATTATTAATTTGTATACTTTAGTCATCCCACTTAGTTTGGCATAGAGTCTGAGAGAGATGAAAGAAAAGTAAGGGTAACATAATCTGCTGATCAGTCTTACAAAGTTAGTTTCATAAGGACTGTCTTCGTTGGGAACATATGCATGATGGTCACTGTACTGGGTGTATGCAATAATAAAATCAAGCAACAAAAACAGCCTGACAATCATATACAGAACAAATACAAAACAGATTATAAAAAAAAAAAATTTAAAAAGCAGAGTAACCACCACCACCTTTTGACTCAGTTTCTAAAGCCAACACACTCCAAAACACACTTTATATTACCTCATACACTCAGCTTTGGGTTTCCAAGCTAAGAAGTCAGATAGGGGAGTAACATCTGGCATATACAACAGCAAGTGCAACACCACTCCACCAGGCGTGACCAGTGGCTCTCGGATCATTAACACTATTGAGGTCTATTAATGAAGTTACTAGTGCCTATATACAACAGATGTACCTCAGGCGTCTTCAAACAGGTGCTCTCGGTTAAAAGTAGCCACACCAACCCGTCGTCAATCAAACACTCGCTGACAAACTCCACAAGAACCTGGACGCTTTAAATATATAGTACGTCCAATCTCAATGCTCATAAATTGTCCATACATCCCTGCTTGAATCTCAAATACAGGAGATCAGAACTCAGGTCATTCTCATTTAAAATAAAGTAATGGGTGGGGAGTACAGGAGACCGGGTCAACACGTCACACTACCATCTGCTGTCATTCAATACTCTTCATTTTTCTTCTCTTTTGGGGCATCCAGGAAAAATACATCAGAAGAATCTCTTATTAGTGTAGCAAATTTAGTGCCATCAATACAATTTTCCAAGATATTTCATTTAATGTAGTTTGAAATTTTAACAAGAAGTTTCCGAGGTTCCTGAGACAATACTAATGTGTATATATATATATATATAAATATAACCCAAAAGCTATTTACTATTTTCTGACTTATTCCCAATTAATTTATCAAGAAGAATCAATTGTACAGGAGAAAAAGGGATAATGTTGTAGTAGATGCCATTGGTCACCTCACGCTCATGAACTAAGCCAATTATATCTTAAAGGTAAAATATTAAAACCAATATGAACTGGAGTAACTTTACATAGCTTGGTGGATTGTATTGAGGTGGCATTTATTTAGGTATAAATTTTATCTAATTTAACATAAGCTTAGGGTTCTTAATAAGGAGGATTTCTTAAGTTATGTATCTAAATACTGAGATTTATTTAGGTATTACTGTGTATTAAGTCTGAAGGGGTTTGTATGGGATCAAGTAATCTGCAAAGTGTAATAAAGTGAGAATGAAAGAGCACGTCAACAGGAGTGCACTTATAGACTCACAAGATATTTTTGAAACAGAACAACTTTCTCACCTCTCAGCTAACAAAGCCTTGAGCTGTTCAGCCAAACTCTGCTGCTGAGGTGTACGATTGGCCAAGTGGGCGGCCAAACTAGCCGACTCAGAAATTTCTGCTCGGTTGACTGGTTGTACTCGGGCAACAGGAGGGGGGTGACGATATGGGATCTCAGGACGGGACTCTGATCGTGATTCGTGGGTCTGCGCGTCACTACCGACGCCCAGGGGTCTGGTGGGTAGACCAGTGGACGGGTCGGACATTACGTGGGATGAGGCGAATGGTTGCCGAGGCGAGGCAAACTGGCCCGGTGGATGATGGTAAGGAGGAGGGGGGCTACCTAAATGGCTCATGCCCCCCATAGTTGCTTGGGTGTAGGAAGGAGGCTGGGGGGACTTAGCGTGGGTTATACTACTAGTGGTATGAGGGGGACTGTGAGGGGGTAGGGGAGACTCCTGTGGTTCTGCTGACCTCCGACTCCCCTGGTCCTGTTGCCCGTCCGGGGGAGCTTCCACTGGCGGGTGTTTAACGGCTTCGGGGAGATCGTCGTCAAGGCTGCTATCATCTAAACTTTGGTCCTGTCGGGGGGTACGATACAATAATCAGCATAACGACAAGTACATCAACTACGTACATTTCAAGTCACAAATTTACTTAGGTATAAAATTTATTATGAATATTTAATACAAGATACAATTAAATTAAGACCTCATTGTCCATTTCTTTGACTACAAGGATCTATGGTAGTATCACCTTTCAATAATTTGTTCCCTATGTACCATCCTGTTGACTGTCTGGTATATGAGGACTATAAAGGCTCAAGTGACACACATGTTATTCTTATATCTGTAAAACTTAATAATTGTCTTTTTTTGTTTGTCTCATAAACCATTTTTTAGATAATTGTGAATTTTCACTTTAAGAGTAATAAAACACCATCTCTTAATATTACAGACTAATGCATCAATAAACACTTACTCAACACATAATTAATACAAGTAACACAGGGACAATTGATGGAATATACTGAGAGACTTTCAAGAACACTGATTATGTCTATTAGGTTGAAGAGGACCTCACATAGAACACACAGAGAGAAGAATGTTGACTGTGTTATAGGAAGAAATGGAGTACCTGTATAATAAATTGGTGTTTGTTTCTTTTATTACCACTAAGATGGTTCAAAATGTTATATCTGGGCTCTTGGTGTATGTGTGTGTGTGTGTGTGTGGAGTGATTCTACATGTTGCTTTACTTCAGGTTCCTCCTATTGCATTTTACAACTTCATACAAGAGCGGATAACACAACAATGACTTTACTGAAGGCTATACAACCATTGGACACACGTAATATAAACCAACTCTCATCAGTAGTAAGAGAACAATCATGGGGGCTGAAGGGAGGTGCAGTAGCAGGAATTTCTCTTAACACATTTTAGTTCTAGACCTAATTAACATTGATCTTCCTAGTCACTGAACCTTGCAGAGGCCCCTCAAAATATTATAAGAAAAATTATTAATTATTTGAGAGTAGCGTATAAATAGTTTAAGGAGAAATGATATCGGTGAGAGAATCAGAAACATGCTCAAGATATCCTTACACACGGTGTCCCTCGTACCTACACGCTTGAACATGAACCTAAATAAACACTATGATGAAAAACCATTACATTCCTCATCCCTCAGGGCAGGTGGCAGGGGAGGGGAGAGGGGTGGGGGGAGTAAACATGTAAATCTCTTCATTTAGATGCCAGGAATATTTTACCTCATGGTATGCCGAAATCTTTCCCTGGGAACGTTTGAAATGAAAATTCCTGAATTAATCAAAACAGCTTCAGTTTACTTTATCCATGTAGGAATGTAAAGGACCTGTACCCCATATTGCCTTAATCCTGCCAGTTCTTAATAGGGTCTAATACTAAGAGGTAAGTTAGATCAGCTTGGGGGAATATTAGTGATTGTATAATACTGTACTCCTTAACAAAGTGGCTTCTTTGGTCCATTTACTGTTCATCCTACACAGATTTTGTGTCATATTCAAGAATGGGTTTTGAGTGCATGCGTGAGTTAGTGAGTGAGTGAGTGAGGGCTGACCTGGCTGCTGGCACTGCTCATGCTGGTGGTCTTCTTGAGGGAGGGCAGGTGACGGTTGGCCAAGCCACCACGAGAGGCCAACTCCCCCTTCGCCCGACTTGCCGAGACATCCAGCAGTTCATGAGGTGGCACGGCCTCATCTAGTTCCTCTTTGACAGGTAACTGTAAAAAACACACATATAATAATACAAGTTTAAATATTTCATACTTCTCAACAGCTGAGAGATAATTCCAACTAAGCACTACATCTTGACAATTGTTAAATACTGAAAGATAATCACCTTCAATGACCAAAACTTTAATAAAACAATTCATAACGACCCAACAACCCTATGGAAATTTAAATGTGTAATATACTCCTAAGTTCATGGTTATTTCTTACCAGCAATAAACATGCTATGATAAACCAAAATCCTAGAACATCTTATATTCTTGTAGGTCCTCTTTTGCCATGACATACCCTAAATGTCTAAAATCACAAGCAACATGGGAGTCTTCCTTTACTTGACATAATCATTTATTAAGTACCAATAATTTCAATCTATCCTAACCAATTCAGGGTTCAGGGTTGTCTCTTTGAAGAATAGGTAGGTGAAAATATTTATGCCGGAGGTTAAACTCACGTCCTGTAGTGATATCTTCACATTCCACTTGTAGGCCAAATGGATGTCTTGACAAATGTATAAATAAACAAGTAAAAATTTTCCTTTGTTTTCACTCTTGCACCTTCACCCAGCAGGAAGGACTGGAATGAGCCTCTCCACTCTCTCTTCATTCCCTGATCATTCATTCATTCTTATCGCTGCAACACATTGTTCTGTTCTTAAGTACAAACCTAATGATCGATCCTCATAGCTTCACATGTCAGATTTACCCAGACTGGGGATGTGAAGCCTTTAACCGTTTCATGCAAGTTATGACACAGATATAATGAATTAAATGACATTAAAATTGCTTTGGCATTAAATCGTTCAGTACTGCATTACATAATTCAGTAGTCTCCAATTTCAGGAATAAATTTTATCCAATACTCTGTAGAGGATTTACATGTAGATCTTAATTTTTAACTACAAGAAGAATTCGGCCCATGAACGGAAATACCTAGATGGTATACGGAATTTTCACAAATAAAAATATAACTTCACTACGGGGATGCCACTTTTAACATTTTATTTGACTAACACAAGACAATTTTATTCAGCAGAGAGAGGACCTCGTACACAAGTGGTTAAAGCTGATGTGTGATGCCGGGATGTATGAAGCGATGGGAATAAGTGAGTGGAAAGTACCAAGCAGAACAATAGTCGTCACAACAGTTAGACAAAAGATGGGTGTCAGCAAAAGCAATGTGTTTATCTTTTAATCCCAGTCACTATTCCACAGCAGGGAAAAGGTTTACAAGAGTGAAGAAAAATGAATATATTTTAACAAGAACACCAAAAAGATAGAAATTGCTGGATATATAGGCAAGATGTGACAAATTGGGAGGAACTATAACAAAACTGTAAACCACAATTCTCGTACATCAGTTACAAAGACGATGATTTTCCAGATTCTGACCAGGTTGGATGTGGAAGTCAAAGCTAGACCCCCTCAGCCCTTAACAACCATAAACAGATCACAGGAAAATTTAGAGAAACCGATATTTTCCAACACATCATCGAACCTTCATCAGTTTTGGCTATTGTTTTTTAACTCCTTTACCTGGCAGTTTTATTCAGCTCAGAGGGGAGTTCTGTACACAATGGGTTAAGGACAAGAGTCATCCCCATTAATGTACTCATCAAATAGCACCAGTAAATTCAGGTTTCAATAATCATGACTTGTTATTTCTGCAAGGATCTCAGAGCTCTAATGTTGACTTCTTTACATCCAAGCTACTCTTTAGTCTTATAATTACTGTACTGACCACAGTAGACATTAACACCTAAAGACTGTGAGGACGACCACCGTGCAATCATTAAACACAGTATGACTCAAGTAAAAACAGAATTTGAGATGCGACATATCCATCAATTTCTTTTTTATATACTTTCATAAAATTCAGTATTGAGTAAACACCTCCGTAAAAATATACAGAACGAGACCTTTTAGTTAACATTTTCATCCATGTTAGTATTAATTAACTACAACAATATGAGTCCTATAATGTTCATCTTTTCTACTGCTCCAAACACCTTATATCTCTAACACAACTTAACTTCACCTTTATCCTCTGCTTCAACTACAAGAAAGAGATGAACTACTGAATGACTAAGATTAGCTCTAACAATATCACACTGAACATTGAGAAAAACTTACAGTCTTATGGATATTAAAGCTAGAAAAAAGTTATAAATACTGTACTCTCCAACCTGACATGATACATGGTGATATTCAGTACAGTATTACAGCTAGGCCAAGTCTCATCAGCATCCGTACAATGAAAAAAATTTATACCACTCTACACTTATATATATATTAAACTTCTACAGTAAGGAAGTAATAACTAAGTTCTAGTGATTAAAAATAACATGCTAGTTAATGTAGAAATATTACTCTACAGCTACAATCTCTGAACTAACAACCAGAGTAAAAATAAGATTTTTTTTTTTTTTTTACTTTACTAAGGTGCTTACTTACTCTATACACACCGTCTGTCACCCACCTTACGCTCTACAGTGTTGGCTTTTTCCCCCTCGGATGTGCCAGTGTCGGAAGTTTCCGTATCCGAGATCTCTGGGTCGAGCGTGCAGAGGCTGGGCTTGCGGGGAGGCTGCTATACAGGCATGGAGGGATATGCGAGCGTTTGAGCAGTGCGTGAGGAAAGTGAGCGTCAAATATAGCAGCAGGATAGCAATAGGAAAGCAAATATGCATCCTTGAACAGTATACATTTACTACTAAATACTCTTCTGGGATTTAGAGGGGTAGCTACTATACTAGTTACAATATTTATACACATTGCCTTCCCTACATCAACTCATAACTAAGTTTACATACAGGGACACAGTCTATGACCAACTAAAAGTACCGGGATTTTTGTTAATGGAAGATCACAAGATATTTACTTACAGAAGCTCACCTCAAAGTACAGGGCATAAAACTGGTGGTTGAAGCACATCAAGGTCAGTGCTCCTATTAACACATCCAACTACTGTACCATCATTACAGGCTTGCATTAGTTCAAGTCTGTATTAGGGAAGTAGATTTTCAAAAGGATTCTCAACACTTTGAATTGGATGTGTGTCCTTAACATGGTTTATGAAGCTGGTTGATGAGGCCCTGACCATTAGGGAGACATGGTTAAGTTACCGAGGCTTTTGGGCTAAATATCACTAAGTTTCAGTAGTGACTAAGTTATTATTCTTCTGGGCTTCATTTTATTTATATACACTAATTATTAAGGAGTTTAATTATGGGGTCAAAAGTAACTAACTGTCCAAGCAAGCACATCCATTTCTGTGTCACATTATCCTGGACAAAAGGTTCCTTGATATTCAAGCACAACACTTGACAGTCACTACCCAGGAGGTGTGGCAATATTCTCCGACACAATACCATCAAATGAGGAGGACTGGGACACTGGTCAAACCTAACCAACACCCTCACTACCAAGACATGACTGAAGTTGCTCGTGTAGTGTGCACGTGCCGAGGATGTTATGCAGGCAGTGACACACCTAAGTTCAGCTTCAGTTGTGTCAGAGTAGCTGGAATATCTAAAGAGGGTAATATGAAGTCCAACAATATCTAACAAGGTGTCAATAAAGGTAACATGGTAATACCCTACTGTTAGAGGACTACACCTAAAGGTTCAATGGGGTATATATATACATATATATACTGTATATTCTAAACCTTCTTATTCTTACATATTACATTATTTGGGGCAAGTAAAAAAACAAAAGTATAAAATCCTTAAATACTGGATCCATATAAGGTGACGGTCAGAAGAAATACAATAACATCACATATAATAATAAACAAAGATTAAAACTATTAATTTGGAGATTATTCCCCACATCCAAACAGCAAATTCCTCTAACAATCAAGAGAAATAGTTATGAAAAATGTCGTATCTCACAGACAAATTTAGTATATGAAGAATGCCACTGACAATAGTTTTAGCATGACACCATCTAGAACTTGAGTTAATATAGTCTACACAACCGCTAGATCTCACTACAGCAAAAATCATGACCTCATGGTGCAGTACACACTCTGGGACAAAGGGCTAATATAGAGATAAATTACCCAAGAGTGTTTGACGGTACACACGCTTTTCCCAGGTAGTGATGTCGGACACACATTATCAAGGATCACGAGCAAGTCCTGGCACCACACCATCACCTCTACAGTCCATTATGATGCATAACATTAAAACTTCTAGGAAAAAAAATATTAATATTTCCAATAATAATTTTAGTTATAATTTTTCATTGGAAGTCGCAAGACCCATTAAAAAGATAAAACGGCAATCTCGTAAATCTTTCTTCTCTTTTTCTCAACGGGGTCGGTCAAGACACTACTATATAATATACCACACACTACTGGTCCAGGATAACCCCAGAATTTTGTGAATAAAAACTACAGCTATAATGAGAGGTGTTTGTTGCACCAGGGACTGTTGAGGTGGGGGTCAGAGGTGACCAGGATCAGTTGACAAGATGCAATTGCATGCTGACAAAGAACTATGATGCAACTGTATATTTTCACACAAGACATTCAACTATAACTTTTAACTACTTTATTCTAAAATAAATAGTTGTGCAAAACATTCAAACACAGTAAGAGATACAGGCTAGTAGATTAAAATATCTGAATATAGTATAGTAAGATATAGGCTTATAGATATTTTAAAGCAAATGCTCTTCAACAACAGAGGTCTAGCAGAAATATATTGCTTTAGCAAATGCTTGGACCCTTAAAGCTAATTGCACATAAGTGCAAAATCACTCTGTATAAAGAGAAAGAAATACATCAGTCACAAATAGTCTACAGAAAAGTTTTTGGTACTTCATGCACAACATTCAGTGAGTGAGTGAGGACCTACTCACGTGCAGACAAGAAACATTTACGTGCACAAACAATAAAGAAAACAAAAACCCTTCAACTTGGTCACGTCATCAAGTGTACACATGAAGGCCTACACTTTAATGTGGTCACTGGTGATGTATATGTTAGGTGTAACAAGGGGAAACTGACATGTGAAGCTGTATATTATAACTATGTAAGATGATGGATCAAGTAGAGGAGCCTAAGAGATGCCATTGTCAATTTTAAGTTGAGTTTAATACAAGGACAATAAGTGTTATAAAAAAAAAATTGAATTACTGGATGACATTTTACACAGAAAAATATTTGGTGATTCTTATACCCTGTACTGTATTCCTGAGTATTTATAATTAATAATATTGGAATATCTTGGAAAAAATAACCATAAAGAGACCATGCTGGATGTCCATAGATACAAGTACTTTAAAAACTGTCCCACACTCAAGCATGTAAACACGACCAAGTTGAAGAAGGGATATGTACAGTGCTTACCCAATCTGTTCCATTCAATATAAGGTGAAAATAAAGGTGCACAACACTATGCAAATATGATCAACTTTAAAGGTATTTAATAATGTTTTATTATTTCCATAAGAATCGTCAGGTTAATCCGACTGTTAATCGTGTCGCGAGATGCAACTAACGTACATAGTTGATTTTATTTTGGGGATTTTGAGTTCATGTTCGTAAAATTGTATTCACCTAATCCTTCTCATTTTAGATCTTTTTTTCTTTAAATTTTCATAATTATCACCTATTTCTAAACTCTGCTCTTTATATCTTGCAGTAAGTCATCAAATGGCCATAGGCTGATGTCAGATAATTTACCCACTCAATCAATCCAGTAAGTCACTCTCTTATACCTGACTGTGACACCCCGTAGAAAGTTCATATATTAGAGAAAACTTAAACCCATCCCATTAAAGACACCTCTGTACCACGTCTCAATACAGGTCAATTTACCGTGGAAGATATATCACGCTAACATAACTCCTCTCTTAAGTGACCAGAGACCTACACTGGTTGATGATGGTTGTAGTCTAGTCACAGTTTCTTGTTTTATTAACGTGAAAAGTTGTAGAAAAATAAACAAATCTTACAGAACAGAAGGAATCACATCAATGAATAATTATTTTACAAGTATATTATGAGAGTTAGTTTTCCAATTATCGTCTTGTAAATGTTCTCTCTCTCTCTCTCTCGCTCTAGAAGGACGCTAAGAGTTCGGGGAAGACTACCGGTGAACTGTGAACACGCAATAAATGCTAGACATGACACAGGGACATATTAAAGTTGATCATATTCCACATAAGTGAGACATAAGAATTTCACACTATATTTGGTGTGTATAATTTACATGTCTACTTTGAACAAGACTTAACATGTACTATCCTGCTCCTTGGCTTAAGTTTAATTTCTGCATTGATAATAATTCGTATATTACTCGTCACTGATGGCCGCCGCACCAAACAAGTGGAGTTAAGTCTAGATCAGTTATATATACACAGTCTATATATACACAGTCAACTAACAGCAGCACACACACACACTATAAAGAGCTGATCAGTATCTTGTCAATGTACCAATGGCATGGTAATAGGTGCAGGGTAGAACACCAGTAAATAAAAATAACAAGTCTGGTCTTCCCTCGTGCCACTGAATAGAATATAACTTCAAAACACCGGCACTTGTATTTGACTGTATTAATTTCACCATCTATGTAAAAATAACAGCTTATCACTCTAGATGCTGAGCCAATATCATATCAAATGGGTATATACAAAAATAAAATAAAACAGTTAAATACCCATAATAGTACCAGTGATATGGGTACTAATCACCAAGACCCATGAGTGGTTTAAAGTACTGTATGGTGAGTTTTACAATAAGACACAGAAGATAAACTCTAGGTATATGTCAGTAGTGGTGGAGTTAAGACTGATCTACCCTTGTGCTGTCTTTAACTCAACCTGTGTTTATACAACTGTCTATCTTCCTAACAATAGAGGGAACAATTATCATAAGAGCAGAAGTACACATCTATGGTGTATATAATGACCTTCAGACCATGTAACTCATAGCAGGTGTGCGTCCCTACCTTGGCGAGGGCAGACTGGGCACTCTGCTGAAGGTTCCAGTAAGCTGGCTGAGTGTTGGGGTCGGTAGGAACCTGTACAGGCATACCCGCTTTCTTCTGAGCATTTGTCAACTCGGCTTCCAAGTGTATTACCTGTAGACCACCAAGTTCAGTAAAACACAGGCCCAGGTATTGAGGCCAACTATGAATATTAAAATACATTACTTTTCCTTCACTGTGGTTCATGTACACTACTCTTCATGACATATCTACCACAAAAATATCCTATAAATAGATGTAAGTGACAAATCCCTGACTCGTATTACAACTAAATTCCAAAAATATTGTCTAAACAAGTGTGGTTAGGTTAGGTTAGATGATGTTCTGTTTAGAATACTATAAAAGCTTTCAAATTATTAACATACAGTGCAATAAAATTTTTCCCAATACTGTACATCCAATTGACTCACCCTGTCCTTGAGTGCCTTGACGAGGGCATTGTAATGAGAGTCCTTATCTTCGAGCTGAGTTATGTGGTACTCCTCCCGGTGAAGGAAGTCTCGTTCCCGACCCTGATATTCTACAAGGGAAACAATAACAAATATTAACGACAGAGTTAAACGTCAATCAAGATGATGTGTCTCAAATAACATTCTTGTGTTATGGGGGAATTATTACCAAATGTCACTACAAAAGGTGTTTCATATTACCAGTTAATGATAGATTATCCAAACACATTGTCATAAATACCTCTTATACCATACTGCACTGTCTCAAGATGCATCCCATTCTCTCCCCACACACACACACACAGAAAAAACTTGTTCAATGATTCATAACTGCTGCCTTATAACTGGTGTTTGGTTACCACTAAATCAACCAACTAAAACACCACAAAACACACACACACACACACACACACACACACACACCACACACACACCACACCACTACACTACACTATACACTCACACACACACACACACACACTACACTTCAACTCACCCTTAATAATTTTTTTCGCCTTATAATACTTCTTCTCTAACACAATAAACTGTCCCTGAGATTGCTCCAGCATGTCCTGGTACGTGGACACCTCCGAGAGCTTGGACTGCAGCTGACCGTCCAATTCCGTCATCTTATTCTGGGCTTCGAGGAGCTGACTAGTATACTGGGTGTTCTCCGTGACCACCTTCTCCATCTCCAGCAGCTGTTGGGAGGAGACCAGGAGACCAGACCTTTAGTATTAGTCACAGTTAGTCACACAGTCAGTCAGTCTTCAACCTCCTCCTGTTAAGTGTGTGAAGACTGTGTGGTCTCAATACGCACATCATTAACTTAAATCTGTATTATTTCTTATGTAATTACTGTACTACTTCTTATGTAATTATGTATTTCTATGTCATTTAGATGGGTGTACAATATTTATAAAATCAAGTATACAGTATTTATTCGTTTATAATTATTCTATTATTAACACCAAAATATGTTTTTTGTAGTTTATCGTTATTGCTAACTTCAATTCCCTATGTATACTAAATAAAAGTTATAATCTAAACTCATGAAAATTCTATCACATGTGCCAGACAGTTTATCAATTCGGTCAGTCATAACAACGTCCTTCTCAAAGCTGTCCTCAAGGCTAATGAAAAAAACAAAGTCTTCCAATAAAAGCTTAACCTAACCTAAAAAAAAAAAAAAACTGATGTCAAATTATGAATCTACTGTGAAAATATATGTACTTGGGGTTATACTATAATCAAGAAGCAACAAGAATCTATTGTAAAATATCTAACACAAAAATTAAGTATTACACGATGCAGAATAATGAAATACGGTGAAACCTCCATTTAACGGACTATATGGGGAGAGAAGTCCATTATATGTAGGTTTCGCCGTGTACTGCATCGGTAACCACGGAATCTACGGTAAAATCATCAACTTACTGTCATCTTCAGCTTGGTAATCTCTGCCTCAGCCACTGCATGTTTATATTGGACCTGAGAAAGAATACAGTACCATCTAAATACATTACTCTATAACAAAACTCTATAACTAAACTGACTAATTACTCCAAATGATACCCTACCTTGTACGCTCGTTCCAAAAAGTACATGGACGATTTTGTGAGAGGATGGGACACAAGAGATGAGATATTCTTCACAACCCTAGAGACAACGGGAGCCGCGGTGAAGATACTGTTCGGAGCGAGTGTACTTTACTACGCTAATTATAATACTTTGGAACAACAGTAATGAAACAAAAAATTATTATATACAGCTAATAATGGAATAGTATGAGTAATAAACATCTTAAACTTGACAGACAGACAATAAAGTATGAGATAAGGTGAGCATAGTGTTAATGATCAAGCTTGTGTTATCATTCTAGTGTGATAGTTATTAGGGAACAGATAACACCTCAGCATAGAAGATCCTCCCACAATGAAATATACAGTGCATGATCTCCTCTCTGAATATTCACAGTCTGAAAACACCCAAACAGTCTAAATAGAGTGCAGGTTTCTATAATGATCCACAGCCCCGTTTTAAAATAACATCGTGGGTTTCTAAAGATTCACAGCCCTGTTTTAAAATAGAGTGCAGGTTTCTAATGATTCACAGCCCTGTTTTAAAATAACATCATGGGTTTCTAAAGATTCACAGCCCTGTTTTAAAATTGAGTGCAAGTTTCTATAATGATTCACAGCCCTGTTTTAAAATAACATCATGGGTTTCTAAAGATTCACAGCCCTGTTTTAAAATAGAGTGCAAGTTTCTATAATGATTCACAGCCCTGTTTTAAAATAACATCGTGGGTCTCTAAAGATTCACAGCCCTGTTTTCTGTCCACCCCACCCCATCACTTTTCATCACTGTTCTAACAACTTTGAAATAATAGCGGTGACTGTCTATATGTTTCTTATTTATTACTGCATTTTTTCTCTTTCTCCCCTTACAATGTCCACGTCATAGAGGAGAGTGTGTTAGTGTGAACGGGAATCATGTTATGCTAATCAACGATGTAGAAAATTGAAATCCTACAACATAAATTAGATTAGGGTGAATCACTGTTTAACCTGACAAGAGCATTATGGTGTTGGTACCGTGAGAAGATACAATACCAAGAAGAAACGTGAAAAGCTGTTCAAAGTTTGCAATAAGAGTGATTCAAATTAGAGTAACGTACAAGAAGTTAAATCAGTCGAACTCATGAAGGTTATTTACATGTGGTTTAAGCAATGTGTATCTGGGCTACTTTTGTGGACTATAAAGTTAAAAAAAATGAGAGTAAAAAAAATCAGTGAGCCTTATGTTTACATGTGGACAGCTGCCAAAACAATGTGTCCCAGAACTGACTATCTGAAGGCGAGCAGTGAAAATATGTCTGAGGTTAAGAGGCCACATTGGATTGTTTTTTCAGAGGTCCGTGTCTAAAATCTAAGACTATCCACAATTCAAACACTTATTAAGTTCCCAGGAATTCGCTCTGGGGATCATGTTCTGTACTTTACGTGGGTCTGTCTTCAGCACAATATTAATAGTGGTGCCTCCACCTTCATAAAACAACTGACAGTCAAGTTTTAGTTTATGACATCACTGATTCATGGACAGGTACTGCTAAATTGAGAGTTAGTCTACACTCTATTTAGATATCAGCACTAACAAATATATACTTTCAATCATATTTCAAAATCATAAACCTAAATCTGAGATACATAATATACAGAGAACGCTTTAGCTCTACCTCATACAATCATTACACTTATTATGTAGAGCGGTGTAACCTATCACCAATATGACATCACTTTTATAAGGTATGTCTTCAAATGAATTCTTAATGTGAAGAATTTAATATGAATGTTTTAACTATGCTAACTAATCTCTTGCAATAATCCGGTAAAAATAAAAATAAGAGATATTATATATTTATTATTCAAATACTCGGATCTTTTAATGTTTTTAATGAATAAAAGCCTGGAAGACAGAGAGAGATGTCATGGGGCTATCTGGCAAAAGTTGATCTACCATATAAAGTCCAGTGTCTGTTTGTTTGCTATACATGACTACAGTTTTGGAGATACAGAGCTGAAATTTGGCTTGCAGATGCACATTCACCCCAGAAACGTCACAAACATGAAATATTTTGGGGGGGTTGGCTACCATCCCCAAGGGCGGAACCCCCTCATTGTAAACACATTTATTCTCCTGCTTCTTTGCTACCCAAGGCCACAGTTTTTAATATAAATTTTTAAAATTTGGTATGAATATATAAATAGCCCTGAGGTTTGCCCCATACGAGCCGAACTCCAACGAAAAGTGTGCCAACCTGTGCAAGACCAGAATTCTCTATGTACTGTACAGCTGAGATTGGGTATGATTATTTTATGCAGTGTACAGTACTTCATTTTGGTCAGGGACAGACATAGGTTTTGTGGCTCCACGTATTCTGGCTAACTTTACTCCATCAAAAACCAGCTGAGGCAATGCTGGGTTCATTCCCTAATTAGAAAAAGATAAAAGGTACTGTGCCAAGGTATTACTCTACATTGTTTCACAGCCACTTACCGGGACATACCTGTACAAGCATATGCACTCACAAAAGTAAACCCAGTTATTCCTGATAATCTCACAGCTGATTCACATACACTAAAATACCTCAACTTCCTCCATTTCACTTAACGCCAAGAATACGTGTGTTGATGAAACTGTCCCAAGAAGACAGAAAGAAATATGTTAAAACTAATATCAACTGGAGAACTTTTTAAACTGTACTACCAAGCATTCTGTTTCTGAAGACAGTAGTGGAAAGAAGATAAGAGCCAGCAGGTGTACAAAAACTATTATATTACAATTAGTTTGGGGTTAATTGGGTCATTTGTCTGAGATATTGAGGTTAATTTGGTCATTTGTCTGAGATATTGAGGTTAATTGGGTCATTTGTCTGAGATATTGAGGTTAATTTGGTCATTTGTCTGAGATATTGAGGTTAATTTGGTCATTTGTCTGAGATATTGAGGTTAATTTGGTCAGTTGTCTGAGATATTGAGGTTAATTTAGTAATTTGTCCGAGATACAAGATGTTACAGTGGCTATCTATGAACCCATGACTTCATGTTGTCCGCTACGTGAATAGAAAACAATCATCAACTCAACGCACGGACCTCTTTCAACTTCAACTTGAGCATCGTCACGTCATTCTCGGGTGAAGTATCGGACGTGTCGCCTTCGAGGTCAAATACTTCCGGGGGAGGCGTGGCGGCTTCGGGGGAGGTTGGGGATGCTGCGCCCTCCATGTAAGAGGCGTAGTTGTGTTGAACCGAGGCCTCATCCGACCGTGAGTTTTCTTCCGATGGCGAGGACAACGGATCAAAGAGCGTGTGACCTGTGTGGGGGTCGTAGTCCGGGCCACCCAGGGCTCGGCGACGTTCCTCTCGTTCACGGTCGGCCTGATGGGTCGAGATGTATAGAAAATCCTACATTAATATACAAACTCGCATCTACACTTGGGATTTATTAAAAGGAATATACATTAAATGACTAATTAAAATCCCTAAGAGACTTTAAAAATTACAGGATGATGCACCAAAGGTAATACTGTATACAAAACATTCATAATCAACCACACTAATAATAACATATAATAGAGAACCTCTTTACCAAAACAGAAAAAATATGTGAAATTGTATCAACGAATAAATCTAAAGAAGACTAAAAATACAAGGTTAGTAAATTATAAATAACAAAGGATCCCAGAATAAAACATACAAATATTCTTATCAGTTCTTATCTACCTATAACCAAATAACTCCGCCCCCCCCACTAGTACATTGTATGCCCACCAGGTTCCTAAGGTATATTAGTACATGAAGAACACAAGAGAGGGAGGATAGACCCTAAGAAACTACTATCCAATATATATTATACTGTCATAGAACTGAGACACCAGGAAGTGATGAATAAAAAAAAAAAGGAATTCAAAGTTAAGAAGCTAAAATAAAGTCCCTGTCTGTAGGTTAGGTCTGAGTGCCATTACTACAAAAAATACATAACAGCTTCTCATTATCAGCTTCACCAATACTACAAAAAATACATAAAAGCTTCTTATTATCAGCTTAAGGACGAGAGGATATACCTGAAGTGACTGCTTGATGAGGAGAGCCACTTCGCTATTTTCTGGGTCCTTCTCCCGCCCGATGAGGAAGTGGACCCGACCGCTGGTGTTCTTGAGGACAGATGCAGCAAATACCTGAGTTACTCCTACAAGACTCTTGCCGTCAACTTCAATGATCTGTAAAAATGCATCACTCGTGGTAATTAAATGTCAAACGTCGTACAGCACGGCATTATTATCTATTTATATTTTAAAATGGATGCAAATGTCATGTTAACTTCTTGAGTACAATGTTATCACACTCTCTACAATGAATTTTGACTACTGATTAAGATATTTTCAATCCCTTGACTATGATGCTCTAAACCTATAAGTCATCATATTCAAGAAATTAAGTCATCGTACTTATGGGGTTAAGTTACCGTACTCAAGGTTTAAGTCATCGTACTCAAGGGGTTAAACCTCCATAATGTTACAATGTCATAGACCTCTTAATAACTACCACATCAAATACATTATAAACTCTCAATACATTACTGTCCACTGTAGATAACATTTCTGCTGTAGAGAGATTTCGGTCACTACCAAAACCACTGTCCATTGTCAAGTAAGAGTAACAATACACACAGAGACCTTATTAAATAAAATAAATTCTAAATATATACATAAAAAAACATGGTATGAATCAATTATCTGACTTTATTTAAAACTTAAGCAAAAAAAATAACAGAGAGAAAACACAGTGTACTTATGACAAACTACTGAGACAAGAAGAAAATTTAGGAGTTGTCTTTAATGTTTTCGATGATATTAAATGGCTTAGATATTGAATACCAATGATTTTAAGAGTCTTTTATACCATTACACTAAAAAGAGACACAGAGGAAGAGAGAAAAAGAGAGAAAGAAGGAAGGAAGAATGGTAGTGAAAGATGCCCTACAAGTGAGGATGAAAAACACCTAGTATGTGCAAGAGTGAGCTGAGAATAAGGAAGACAAGCTGGCTGACGGGTGATGCTGGTATGTGAAGGGGAAGTACTGTAACAGAGGGCAACACATCTCTGACAGGAGGAAGATTGAATGACTGACAAAATAACAATGTGGAATTACTTTACTCACTTATTACCACCACATATAACACAGGAAAGACTTGATAATAGTAAAAATAATAATAATAAACCAAGAATCACCTAAACTCATCTGCTTAAAAACTTCAAATAAATGAGAAAAAATTTAAATTCTTAGGTTTTTCTCAGGATTTTCGAATTTTATGGCTTTTCCCCCAAGAAAGTCATTAACAACAGAGAGAAAATTACCCCCCTAAATTACCAGGTTAATGGCTAGTAATTACCTGGTTACTGACTTGTATTTACCTGGTCATTAACTTGTATTCTGGCATCTCTCTCTGTAGCACCATTCGGGGTGATGGTCTTAACAAATATGCCCAGCTTCTCCACGCCGGCATCTGCTCCGACACCCATGCCGATGATGCTGAGACCCAGACCGCCCTCACCTGATGAACACAATACAGTAAAGTTACAGTGACTCTAAATACAGTGGCCAAGACCGCCCTCACCTGACAAACACGATACAGTACAGAAAAATCATAGTTACACTGTCTTGACACCAACTAAAAATGCTGTATGGATGCTGACTTGAGAGAACTGTAAGAATTTATACATTACATTGTTTCTGGAACCTATGTATGTATGAATGAATGAATGTATGTATGTATGTATGTATAAGGTGTGTTTCTTGGTCTAAATATCAGTGTTATGACTACTTTGGGAGTGAGATTTTTGGTGTATCTAAAATATTTAAATTTTTGTCACTGTTTAAATTGACAAGGCGCTGATTTTTAAGTTCGCACGCACGCGCACGCACACACACACACACTACTGTATACTGTACCATACTCTCACGGTGACACGAAAAAGGTCACATAGAAAGATTAAAAATTATGGCTAGGCTAGGGAAGGGTAGGGTAAGGTTGAGAAGTTAAGTTAGGTTTGGTTAGATTAGGTTAGAGTTAGTTTGCTTAATCATCAAGTGAAATAAGATAAAGTTCCTAATCTTCAGGTGATCCAAATTGTGCATAACAGGTAGAGTGATTACCCAGGATAATTCAGAAGCAATGTAGTGAGTCTTAATACCCTCACCTTTAACAATCTCAACAGGAAAGAGGTCCATCTTCTCGACTCTCTTCTCCAACTCGTACTCTGCGCTGGCCGCCACCGGGTCTACATCATCATTCTTGCGGTCGTATTCCGTCACTGAGTACGTGCTGAAGACCTGTAGTGGGTGGGGAAACATGAGTACATAAACGGGATCCCGGGTTTCCATTGCACGTTAATATAGAGGATGGAACGGGAATTGAAAGTTGTTGTAGATCTGTGAGTCAGAGGCTTACACCCCATAATTATTAGGTGTTTAGGGAATTGGTCGCTGAGTTGATAGAGCGATGGGGTTGTTATGAATACTTTATATGGTATAAGTACAAACTGCAGAAAGGGGAGGATGATTATAAGTTTGAATCACTTAATACAGTAATTTGTAATCCTGGTACAGTATGAAGAAGTAAGAGTACAAACCTGCACCGGGTCCTTTGAGAAGGTGAGTTTGGTGTGAGGATGGAACGGCATATTAGGGTCATTGTCTTCATCCTCATCCTCATCTGGTAGTCCAGGAACCTCTACCCAGAAGTGGCCATCCTCAAGGTAGTGAACTCCATCCTCCACCAGTACCTATAATACAGTGTATATATTAAGAGATAAAAGGTCTTCAGAAGTTCAGAACTGTAAGAAAGGATATCCAGAAGGGAAACTAGTAGAAAAATATTGTGAACAAGCCACTGTAAATGGTACAAGGAACCATCACATGAACACTGCACAAACATATAACATTTCTTAAACTAATACTGTGCTACCTACAGCCATCCACTGACCTCTTTAACCCGAGACACTTTGCAAATGTCCCCAGAAGCTTCTGAAGAATCTGCTTCTGACGGCTCCTCTTCGGGGCTCAAGGGAGACGTTAATGTAGGGTCAAAGTGGGAAGCTACCCGAGTGTCGTACTCATCCTCCCCGGGCGTGTAGTGTGGAGGAACGGGTGGAGCAGAATCTGCGTAGTGTGGAGGCACTGCAGGGGGCATATCTGAGTAGTGTGGAGGAGCACCCGGCACTGAGTCTGTGAGGTGAGGAGGAACCGGGGGTGCAACTATGGAGATGTCCTGCTCCTGCGGGGAGAGGAGAAGGACCACCTCCTGGGCCTCTTCATCAGAGAGAAGCCCCTGACTCTCCCTGAGGGAAGGAAACCATAACAAAAATGTTAGTTTATGAGAATACCTTCCACCATGTGTTCTGTGTCCTTTGTAACAAGTTAAAGCCAAACATCATCCTTATCTCCAGTCTAATTCAAATTACAGTGAAGAGACTTTATAAAACACTCTACGTTAAAGTTGTCTGAGAAATGAATGGCCACAGAATAATATCAAATAAACTTTCCTACAGCAAATATTCACATCATAATTCCAACTAAAAAAATAAAAATAAAAAAATAAAAAAGCAAGTGTACTAACATATCTCATTACACAAGTTACAAGAAACAGGAGAATGCAGGAGAGCTACTTGTGTCTCGTCACATTACCACACACTACTGAAGACGTCACGGCACAAACAAAATACACAGTCGACTCAACTTACCGGACTTTTCCCTCCAAAATGCTGAAGAATCATACACAGGCAGTCAGAAAGAAAAGGCTGATGTTAGTGCAAAGCCAAGCTCTAAATGGGCTGGGGGAGATGGGGGAAATATGGGGGGAGGGAGGGAGACAGGCAAAGGCAAACTGGGCAATGGAAAGGGACAGATATGATGGGTATGTGGGAGAGAATGGAAAGGGATGGGGGAATCAGGAAGGGAAATAATTAAGGGAAAACAGGCAATTATAAAAGACATGCAAAAAATAAATATAAATAAATATCATATGCTAGGATAAATAAGGAACAATAGAATAAAGTGAGAAGAGGAATGGGAAAGAATGAAAGGACATGAATAAACTACGAAAAGGCAAATTCTGATATAAAAAATGGGAAAGGAGGAGGGGAGGGAAAATAGAGGAAGCTGGGATAACGAAGACAGGACTAAGAGAAAAGAGGATAGAAAGAAGTAGGAAACATGAGAATGATAAGAATGAGAAATGGGAGAAGATGAGATAAAGAAACACAGAAAAATGGATGATGATGATGATAGTGGTGTATAAAGGAACAAAAAATAATGAATACTGATAAACTGACTGATGTAGATTATTGAAGGACTGAAAAATGGAATATTGGAGAGAGAAGAGAAGAGAATTTGGACAAGAAACATCAGCATATAAAGAAGATAGAAATGAGGTCAGTGGGTTAGAGAGATTGAGAGTTCAGGAAGTAAGTTTGGGAAAAAATCAGGAAATAAGTTATGCTGAAGAGTGGGGGAGGGAAGGGGGCAAACCAACAGGAAGGACATTTTAAAAACTCAGAAAGTTTAGTGGTATCCCAGGAGATGAGGGCAACCCAGAAAGGTAAACAAACACAGATGTAGGAGTTAGTGAATAATGGAAAGGAAAATGCAAATATACTAGGCAATGGATAACTGTATATAAACTGGGCAGAAAAGGGATGGAATGGCATGAATGAGGGACAGAGAAGAATGTAATTAGACAGAAAAGAAGTGGAATGAGACAGGGATTCAGTACAGTACAGTAGAGTGTAATAAAGACAGATACAGTAATTGAACTGAAGGAAACTGAGTGAAGTGGATAGATAGGTAATGTAAACCGGCTGAAGACGGTGGATAGGTGGGTAGTATGGATTGGTTCAGATGGTAATGACTATCCACATGGGTGAATAATTATAGATTGGGTGTAGTGGACAGCTGGTGCATAGTATGGATTGGTTTGGATGGAGAGGATTATCCACAACTTAGAATGACATGGGTTCAGTATGACCAAGTTGGGATAGGTAAGTGAGCTGTATAAAGAAGGAAGGATGGAAGGAAGGGATGAATGAAGGAAAGAAGGATGAAAGGAAAGAGGGAGAGAGGGAACTGGGAAGAAAATGGATAAATCAAGATGGAAAAGGATGAAATAGGGAAATGGGGTCGATGAAATAAACTTCGTATTAATGAGATAAATTGAGTTGACATGCTGGGAAGGAAGGGGGAGGGAGAGGAAGGAAGGACGGAAGAAAGGAGGGAAGGAGGGAGGGAGGGAGGGAGGGAGGGGAGGGAGGGAGGAGGGAGGGAGGAGGGAGGAGGGAGGAGGGAGAAGGGAGGAGGGAGGAGGAGGGAGGAGGGAGGGAGGGACGGGAAGGAAGGAGGGAGGGGGGTGGAGGGGATAAATAGGGCAAGGTATACAATGGGACATGTGTCAAAAGAGATGGCGCCAGTTGGTAAAATTGCGACGTGCAAATCCAAACAGTGAACGACTCGAGGCAGTGACGACACCAAAAGTTCTGACGACCACAAGCACTAACGATCATTCAGCGGAGTCAATCAAGATGTCTGACAATCTCTTTGACTCGAATTTGAAACACTAAAAATATATACCGGTAAAAATAAAAAAACAAAATGTCCCATATTTTACCAACTGGGTCATCAACACTCCCTAACCAAAATATAAATTAAATAAAAACTACACACACACTGAATCCTTGGTTATCTGCGCATCTGTCACCCAAAATTTCTCTCTCTCCTTACCCAACTTTGCATCAATGATCCCTATCCTTAAGTGCTGCTGTGAAGCCCCAACAAACACCTCATATGGTTTCACTTTCATGTAAATATTAAGTATATAAACCCTCAACAAAATCATTGGTATATTGGGAGAGAAGTCTTACATGTTCTGACAGTATGGTGTGTGAGTGTATGGGTGTGTATACTGTACCAGGCACCCAACAACTGGTGTATAGATGTGTTTGTGCTTAATGTATATACCGGTAAGTATAAACTATGAAATATCAATTGAAAGTCTATGATAATTATCCTCAGATGTTGTAAAGGGGATTGAAGCCAACTCTCCATTATACTGTATAAATATCTGGGTTAATTTCTCCATTACTCAACTTCAGTTTTAAGCAGGTCCAGATGACTATGAAAGTAGACTAACCAGTTTCAACACCAGGAACTAAGGCAAACCACCACCACCACCACCCAAGTCACCATAAAACTGGTTGATCAGACTCCAAACCACCAAATTTATAGCTCAATGGGTGAACTTGAACTAATATATAGTTTTAATGATCACTATTATGGAACATTAGGTACCAGACCTAACCTAACTGAGCCGACCCAAACCTAACCTAACCTTATGGGAGAGCTGAAGACAGTGACCCCATCAGTATATCCAAGGTGGAAAGAGTGAAACCTTCCCGAGAGTGTTGGCCAACTATACAAACTATGGCTTAGGGCACAGCTCCACTCTCACACAATGACAAGATCTTTACTAAGCATCAGTCCACAGATGTTAGAGCTGCACTCCTACATAATTCAGACCAGTCATCACTAATATTAAGGTAATTGCTTTTTTTTTATTGAAAATGTTCCTTGATTTTCAGTTTTTATTGTTTTTCTTTTTTTTTTAATCTCACCAAATATATTTCTCAACATTGTGAGTCAGATTCCGGAGTAATAAAAAAATGGATTGAAATTAATAGTATTCTTTCTCTCTGCTATGGATATATCTTCATTTTATCATATTGGACAACCACCCCACACTACCTGTAAGTTCTGAATACCCCACATATTAGAGCACAACCTAACCTAACCCAACTTAACCCAACCCAACTTAACCCAACCCAACCTAACCTAACCCAACCTACTCAGATAATCACAATGTCTTTTTCCCACTGCCAGGGCCAAAATTATCATGGCCTCAGCAACCATAATAACCATGTTGATGAATCTCCTCTCTAGAATACACTAATAAGTTACTAAGACCTCGAGAACCAAGTTTATAGGTAACCAAGTTCACAGGTAACCAAGTCTTCATTAACGAACTCTTTGGGTGACCATCTTGCCGATAACCAAAGGATCTGTGCACCTATGAATCATGCGGAAATTTGAGGGATGCAATTTTTTGTTACAGGAACTTCATATCAAAACTTGGAGCATTCACAAAAAAAAAATGACATTACATTTATGTATACATGTATATATATTATCTACATACCGAGCAAGTCATTAGATTACGTAACTTAATCATTAAGTATACAGGTATTAACTAAGGTAGGTAGATAGTCATGCAAGATTAATACGTTAATATGCTTTACAATGAAATGAAAATATAAGGGGAGGGTTTAAAATAAAAAATCAATGAAGCATTGCATTAAAATAAACATAACTAATTATCTAAAATATTAAAACTAAATTAAATTCTGTAAATACAAATACAATATAAAGTGCAAGTAAAAAAAAAAAAAAAAACAGCCACAACATATTTCCAAGATACTATACTGCTCTTTACAACAGTTGTGAGACAGTACACAACACTCCAAACTTAGAATCAGAGGGAGGGAGAGAGGGAGAGGGGTGGGTATCTATTCAACTTCAGGCAATCTTCAAGTTTTGTGATGATGAGACGGACTTGTGCAAACTCTGGCCTTCATGAAGTTAGGGATGGGATGCTTGCTCGGTGCTTCATCATGTGGGACTGGAGAGGATAACTGCTCGATTCTTATTACAATCTTCGTGTTCTGTGCTATTGAGGAGGTCGTCTACTTGGTGTTCATGGGGATATAACTTTTTGGTACTGCAGGAGGTCGAGGGAGAATTGAACAAACTGGATTTCACTAAGTTGGGAGAGGAGGGATTGCCTAGTTTGGGTTTCAGGGCCTAATAGAGGGAACACCTACTTTGGGTTTCTCAAGCTAAAGAGGGGTGGATACCAACTCTGGGCTTCATGAGCTAAAAAAAAGGGGAACACCTACTCTGGGGTTTCAAGATGCTAGAAGATAAAACACCTACTTGGCACTGAGGAGCCTCTGAGCTTCGTCGGCCGTCATGACTTCAGGTTCAGCGGAGTCGGAGACGGGCAGCGGCGATGAGGCACGGACCTCGGGCACGACGGTCGGGTCGACGCCATGGGGGGGTATGGGAGGCGGTAGAGGCTCTGGATCAGTGTCATGGCTCTCCAGGTCCGGCGCGATGCCTTCGACGGTCACCGGGGTAGTGCAGAACTGTACGGGGGAGAGGACGGGGTATTAATGATGGAATATTGTACTGTATATGGTGAACAGGTATCGTTGAGGTAGATGATATATTCCACAAACTGTACATAGTGAAGGAAGGAAGGAAAGAGAAGCAAGAGGAGGAGGAGAGAGAGAAGAGGAGGATAAACAGGAGAGAGGAGATACAAGACAGACAAAAAGATGAGAAAGAAGAGGAGAAAAAGATAATAAAGAAAATGAGGAGAAAGAAAACACGAGAGAATGAAGAAAATGAGAAAATGAGAAAAACGGAGAAAAAATGAGTGAAAGAAAAAATGAGAAAGAGAGAATAACTTATGAAAGACAATGGGAAGCAACAAAAAAAATACAAGTAATCAAGAAATACACAATGTAAGCTAATATTTTTTTCTAATACATTAAACAAATTACTGTACTTACAATACGTTAGATACAATACCAGTAATTAATATTTCATACCACAATAAAAATTACATTAAAAAAATATATAGATGATTAAATAATTGATGCAAGACGTGTGTGTGTACCAAGGGAAGTCACACCAATATTGTACTAACCTCCAAACCCACTTGCCCAAACTCGTTCAGCCCTGCCCGTGTCACTAGCTTATGACACACTAACATAACTCGCTTAGTGACAGCATAAATTTCAGGTGTTATCATAAGTTTGCAACCTTCAACACGTTTTGCAAATCATGATAATCTCTGTAACTTTTTCCATTTGTTTACAGAGTACATTAAGTTCCATATTGTCATTTTTTACGATAATTTCTGCATTTTTTGTATTTATTTACATCAAACTAGGTTCCATATTCTCAAAGTTCACCACTCAAGTCCTCTCTCCCGAGCTTAAGATTTGGTAATGCATCTAACTAATTCCATAAGCTGCAACACAAATATACAAAATAATCTTCTTTCATTAGCATCCTTTCCCCATATAGAGATGTGAGAACGCATATAAATACCTTAATTAAAACAATTTAATCAGATTTCCGATGTACCGTATGCTGCTGCGCCACCATAAGTCAGATGTTTGAAACTGTCTCATTACCAACCAGAACATGAAACCGACACGAATGACTCTTAAAAGGTTCGAAGTAACAGACTCAAGTTCATACACCTGAAGCAGGCAGTGAAGCAATAGCTGGCTGGGAGAGTTAACCAACTTTTGGGTGAGAAAATGCTACTGGTGTAAAACTTAAAACACGGAATTTTACACTAAGCAATAATATTATAATAATTTATGGCCAAACATCACCCATCATAAAGAACCAACATTAACCACAACGTCTACATACATTCAACATCCAACATAAAAAAAACATCAATACATATACTATACCCAGCCGTCAGACACATCAACATGAATCAAACAGCCAACATTGTTTAAAAACTAAATAAAACATTCAAGTCATCACAACATCCAACATCTCTAAACAACTACCACAAAAAAGCAATATATGAGAGAGAGAGAGAGAGAGAGAGAGAGAGAGAGAGAGGCGTCCAAATTATCAAAACATTCTACACAGCGAAAAGCAACAAAATAATAAATATGAGAGCCACAAAAGCACATCAATTAATACCAATCCTCTCACTATATAGAAGATTCCACAAAAGTTACAGCCGTGACAAGAGTGCGTTGGACATGACGTCCCAACCCACATGGCCATGATGGTGAACAATATCCCGTCACCATAATTCTTCACCAAGCCACAATATTTCTTCATTAAACCACTACACTCTCCACCAAGCCATCATTGTATCTTCCCTAACTTAACTTTCATCAGTTCACTATATCAATTCCGACACCATTTCCTCTTCCATGTCACTATACTACTTCAATCATGGCACTATATTGTCTTTTTTTGTTCTCGTCACCATCTTTCCCAATCACTCGTCCTCACTATCACTATATTCTCACTTCTGGTGTTATCTATCTATTGTCACTATACTTTATCGCGTCACCATATTCCTCTCCATGTCACTATAGCCTGTTTGGTAGTGGTATATTAACACCATATTGTTTATCTGCTAAATTATAATACTAATAATAATAATTCACTATACAGTAATGGCAGCCTCTTCATATCGTTAGTTAGCTCACTACACGATGAAGGTCAGGCGAGAAATATAGTACCGAGGGCTCTCTTAATCTGTCACACACACTTCCAACACACGTTCCCCTCACACACACGATCCCTCCCTCCTGCACACCGCCACAACCTCCTTCCCTCCCTCCCTCCTGCACACCGCCACACAACATCCTCCTTCCCTCCCTCCCTCCTGCACACCGCCACACAACATCTTCCCTCCTCCCTCCCTCCCACACCGCCACAACCTCCTTCCTCTCCCTCCTGCACCACTTTTTAACATCCTCCTTCCTCACTCCTCCTGCACACCGCCACACAACATCCTCCTTCCACTCCCTCCCTCCTGCACACCTTACACAACATCTTCCTTCCCTCCCCCTCCCTCCTGCACACCACCACACAACACTCTTCCCTCCCTCTCTCCCTCCCTGCACTTACACCAACATCTTCCTTCCCTCCCTCCCTCCTGCACACCGCCACACAACATTCTCCTTCCTCCTCCCTCCTGCCCGCCACACAGCATCTTCCCTTCCCTCCACCTCCCTCCTGCACACCGCCACACAACATCTTCGCCCTCTCCCCTCCACCACACACTGCCCCAACCTCCCTTCCTCCCCTCCCTCCCCTGCACACCGCCACACAACATCCTCTTTCCCTCTCTCCCCTCCTGCACCGCCACACAACATCTTCCTTCCTCCCTCCCTCTACACACCGCCACACAGCTGTTTCTTCCTCCCTCCTCCTGCACACCCGCCACACATTCCTCTTCCTCTCCTCCTTGCACTTCCCTCCCTCCCTCCTGCACACCGCCACACATCTTCCTTCCCTCCCTCCCTCCTGCACACCGCCACACAACATCTTCCTTCCCTCCCTCCCTTAATAATACTACACACACTCCTCCTCGGCAGTTTTCTATCCGCCTCCTCCAGTCCATGGCCGATGTCAACAAATGAGTCTACCAGTCAGTTGACCAAACATACACACTGGAGACAGCCACACTCCGGGCCTCCTATCACGACCCTTCACAACACGTCTACTAGTGAGGGGAGACTGGCCGCCCGCCACTCCCCTCACCACTAACCCAGACTGAGGAGAGGATGGCCCGCCCGCCACCCTCACGAGGGGAGGACCACAGCCATATGTGTACCCGAAAAAACTACTACTGTATTTGGAACCACGTTGTTTAAGCTTCACAACCATCCATTAATATAGAATAACTACAAAATAACCTAAACGAAAATAAATAAAATATTAACAAGTATATAAATAGTCTTAAGACCTGTACGATAACCTTTAACGCGAATTTAAATCCCCTCCAACTGGTATCCGTCAACACGAAAGGCGGCAACGCCTCTCCAACATACTGTGTGTTTGGCGGGAAAAAAAAAGACACCTATTTACTATACGTGACCAACGGTAATTTGCTTCATAATCGTGTCTGAACCACCCGATAACTGCGAGATGGACGACAAAGTTCATAAAAACGAGGACTTAGGAAACGCTGAGACGACACTGAAGTGGAAAATTGGTCTTTAAGTGATGTTACAGACAGAGTCCGTCTAGAAGGACCTTACCATGGAATGCAACCGACGTAAACACCCGCTTTAATGGCGCCAGCTAATTGAGGCAAAAATAGATGCAACCGCCACCAGATTTCGACAATAAAGATCCACCGTTCTCCCGCCACACCATGTCCGACCTACAACCAATTAGGTTTGTCCACTAAGGTGTGCCATGAAACATACTACAGTGAGCGTTGGTGGATCCCCTCACTGCATCCATCACTGGTTGAAAATTACCCACCAGCACTTAAGGAGGTTGTGAGGGAGGTAACTCTACACCGTGGACACGACCAAGGCGAGTTAGTACAGTATATACCTTTACGTGTTTCTACTGATGCAAGTTACTTCACCTGCTTAACTAAACTGTATTATACTGCCAAATCAATGAAAAAAAACAACAATAAATTCGTTCAATCTTGCAAGCAACCTCTGACTGTTGCCAAATATTATCATTATTATAATTACTATCAACAACAACTCAAATATTATAATAACATACCCGAACATGTTCCTGGCGTCTTCAGTGTGTGTATGTTGGGAGTAGAGGTGGTCGACTTCCTCCCTCCCTTTGTTGAAATGGCCTCCCCTCCCCTAAATCCCTAACCTCCCCCTCCCCCCCCTCAAGACCTAATAGGAGCTCAATAACTCAAGCTCCTGTTGCTCTTTAACAGGGCAATTTAGGTGTTCGGGGATATACAGTGTGTTCGACTTCGCACTAGTCGAGATAAACGTCTATAACATTAGTAAATTTTGCCATTCAATATGCAGTATACATCAGATCCTTATCAATTAAAAAAAAATTAATTTAGCTAAGATTACATTGGCTACGATAAAGTAAGGTTATCACACGAATGATTTAAATGAACTGTCAGAACATAACGCCGTGACCTACAGTATATTCACATTTGATAAGTACAAAAATAAAGTTTGAGTCAATAAAAAGCAGTAAAGTCTGGTGAAAATAGTGGCCAGTGTCCGTTACTATCGTTCAAATCCCGTGGAATGCCAATCCTAGACGTCCCCTGTAATCCAATAAGACCGTATTACTTCTTAACTGTTCTCTGAGGGCTAAAAATGTCCTCCCTTTACAATCCTGAAGACATAAAACGCCTCATCAGCTTTTAACCAATTTCTTTAAAGTTGTAAATCTTTCAAGCCTATTCCCCCCTATATATCTACAAATACATTATATTATATTCAAGTACGCTATATAACACTACTAATACCAAAAAATATACTGGAACAATCTAAACAACAGTATTTCAGTAAGTCCTTGACATTAATTTTAAACAGGAAATGGGTCAGCGGATATCTCGTTTACCACTGAAACCTGACACCAC